CCCCCCCCCAAGACATACCCCGGGCATAAGTCAGTTTTAAAAGAGATGTGGTATTCAGCGTGTAAGTATGCGGTGCAGTCACATCACATGTTTGTTTCGGGTTCCACTTCTCAAACCAATCAAAATGTATTAAGGGAGCATTCATTTTTTAGCTGGGGGGGTGGGCCGGAGGAATTTGGGGGTGGGTCAGCCAATTTTGACATGCTTCAAAGGGGTGGGTCTTTTTATAGTTTTGTTATAAATTGAGGGGGTCATAAAAATAATTAGTGAAAAAATCACCAATATGATTTTATTGAATTTGGAAATATTTGGATCAAGAATGGTAAAAAGGTCTAGAATCTATCAACTATCTCGTCATCTATAACAATGAAGCAAAATTCATTTGACGCTCTGTTCACACAATCCATATTTCCATGACGTTCGTCAATTGACCTCGTTTTTATCCGTTTTTGTGTGAAAACATGAATGAAAGAAAACGCGGGACCGTAGCATGATTTCAAAATCATGCATGACTTCAAAATCATGCAGACCTTGATCAATTTTAAGCTTTATTAATTTTAAGCGGCTACATTATCCATGACAAACTGCAAAGAATGAAGATAGTACCCACAGTTTCCTGCAACTTATCCTAGTTATCCAATATATAGTAAATTAAATACGCCTTCGCCCATTTAGTACTACCAAATTGTCAATTTCGACATACTAAAACGCTGTTTTCTGACCATCATCTGTCAAATCTTCCCCAAAGGCCAGGAAATGGCATTTCAGAGACTCTAGATTTAAAAATTTCCTCGGGCCTTCGGCCCTCGCTTTCAGCCCCCAATCAAAAAGAGTTTCCTACAGCCCTGAAACGCTATGGAAACGACACCGTGTGGATTAATAGTTAGGATGAGGGGTCAAAAAATTTTCAGTAAAAAAATAGGGGGTCATAATTTTTTATCAACTTTTGTCTTGGGGGTTCCAAGTTTTCGCATGGAATTAGACATCAGTTCCTCCGGCCCACCCCCCCCCCAGCTAAAAAATGAATGCTCCCTGATTTCCGAAATTGTTGTGTCGTCAACAAACTTCCACATACTGATGCTGTTCACACGTAGGTCACTCACCATCAGAAGAAATCCAGGCCTAAAGCCAGGGGCCTAACTTGATGCCTTGGGGTACTCCTGAGGGGACGTGTCTCCATGACGAAACAGCGTCGGAAAGCTTCACTTTTGGTGTGATGATGCGGTAATTAAAATGTGTGTGGTATAGTATTATCATTCACCACACTTCAAATTCTACCGTACTGTATTACACGCAATGGCGTACTTTAAATCGACGCATTTGTCTTCTCAGTGTCACAGAAGAGCAAGATAGGGATAGGGTGGTCTCTTTGGAGTATCTTTGCTTGGAAAAACTAAACTAGAATTTCATCCTAAAATGTGATTTCATGCCTTGTTCCACGGACAAATTATTTCAGCCATGGTTTAGGTTTCTGGCAATGTTTAAATTTCAGTCCCCAAATTTTGGCCTACCAAGTCAACTAACTCTGTTGACTCATAGCTAGTTACAGGTCTGCAGATGATGGTAAATTCTTGTTTGTTTTTCTTTTGGAATTGGATTAAAAAGGTGGTTGCAGGTATTCAGATCCTGGAATGCTGTGAAATGGCCCTGCTTACCTGTTGGGACATATTATTGGGTGAACATCAAATGGTGTGTGGAGTGAAATGAAATTTCGATTCAATGTGACTGATAGGGTTGGAATGGTGTGGATACTGATGAATCTAGTGAGTTGTGTTATGATGATGCATGGACTGTGATGATGTTGGTGAAGCTCGATTTATAATGTAGACAAACAGTGATGTTACTGGTGATATATAACTTGAAAATGGTATAAGTGATATAAAAGTTGGAACATTTAAGCTAAATTGATACATGAATAGTAAAACTGTGTTGTGTATGACTTGATTGATTGTTCTTGTGATGATCGCGCAGGCATAACCCAGGTGCGTTAATGTGATGTATTGTGATATTGCCAAGACCTGGGTTAATGCCAGTGTATCGCCACCCAGGTCAAGTCCCATGCGTTTTGTGTTCGAAACCAAGGTTATGTTCTCATCAGGCTCCCAAGCATAACAGGGAAAGCACGTTTCGACCCCACTAGCTGGTCTTGGAACTACATGCCCGCATATAAATATTCATTTCTGTTCCCGTTTATATGAATCATACATGTGTGACATGTGTTTGCGCGAAAAAATCTGTTGATTATTTCGTCTAGGAACAGTGTGAAAATTGGTTGAATTTGGTATGTGTTCTTTGTAATGGGTGAAAATGATAAGAATCACATGCGTAATGTGGTAATTTATGGTTACAGAATGTAAAAAATGAAATTTACTTACTGATAGATGTCATGGAGCGTACTTTGCATGTAGGCAAGGCGAAAAGGAATTCTTAGTGGGCGAGGGGGTTCTGAAATTACGTCGGGGGGGGGATTGAGATATGAGGGGTTGGGATGGGATTAGGGTGGCTTAGTTGGGGAGGGGTTTGGAATGTGGTTTGGGGTTAAAATTCCAGTGGGGATTGAGTTAGGTCTGGATTGCTGCTCAGGATGGTAGATTGAGTTAGTTTTTAACAGTGCTGTAGGTTTGGGTAGTTTAGAGTGGGTTAGGTGTGTAAGTGTTCTAGGAATGTGTCCCTAATGAAAGTGGAAACATCAGATGAAAATGTTATTGAGGGTTTGGAATGGATAACGAGGGGTATATTGATGTTGTGATAGCTCAATTGAATGGCAGAAGTTTTTTGCCACAACATTTTAAGTGGTCTACCGTCTATTTCTCATTCTTTGAAAGGTGAATGGTAGTTCGAAATGGAAGTGATGGTGGTGTGTAATGTATATTGTGAATGCTCCATGGCGCAGTGTGTGGCAAAAAGCTTTCTGCCACGAAATTTGTTTATTATTTGTAATTAATATTTGTGGATGGTGAATGGTGTTTGAAACAGATACTATTAAAAAATGTTTTGATGGATTTGTGGCCGAGTTTGCGACAAGATTTTTTGCCTTTTGTTTCTCGTTCATTGAAAGTGAATGGTGAGATATTCTTATGATGTTGGGATGGTTGATCAGAAATATTTCAGGTGGGTTTTTGGTCTGGGTTTTGGGTGGATATGTATAAAGATATATAAAAGATATAAGAAAAATATACAACTGTGTAATAGGTGATGCTGCAGTGTGAATTGAATAATTCGGTATGTGGTTGTATACTTTTATTTGTTAATTGTGTGTTGATTAAATTATATTATGTGAAGTGTTTAGATTATAGTATGTACAAATTTGGATTGTTTACATTGATTGGTGGAAAACAATTTTTGTGATAATTATTTACATTTGTTGCCTGATTGGTGGAATATTCTGATTGATTAAGTAATTGATTGTAAGCCGACTATACCTCACACATGTTCGGATTTTGGGTTATGGTTTTCCCTGTGGATTGGCCAAATCAGTGTGTTTCATGGGAAGCCTTCCCTAGTTCATAGTGTTAGAATGTACTGGTACCAATTTATAGGAAATTGTCTTGTCTTGTTCATTTCAACTGGATTCTGCAGATGTGATTTGAGTTGATTTCCCAGTCTTGGATGGAGCTGGGGATCTCGGTTTATTGTGTAGATCTCTATTGTTGATCCTTGTTTGTTTGATACATCCATTGGTGGGTATCTTTGTGTTTATTTTGGCATGGGGGGTTGTGTTTATTTTGGCATGTGATGTTGGTGAGACAATGTGGGTGATTGGGTGAATTTGGTGCGGACGAAGTATTCTTTGAGATTTTTGTGACGTTGGTAGGCTATGACTGGTTGTTCTGGCCACACCCGTGATAAAACAGGATCGTTTTCAATATAATGCCAGTGTTGTGTGAGAATGTGTGAGAGTGGTGTGAGATCTGGATTGTATGGAATGACGAATGGTAATGTTCGTGTGTTGTTTTTGGGTGTGGTGTTTATGAGTAATTGTGACTGGGTGTATGATGAGGCTTTGTTGATGTGAGGGAGAATATCTTTATCTTTATATCCTCTTCCAATAAGTGCGACCCGGAGGTTTTGTTCCTTTTCTTGGAATTCTTTGTCACTAGTGATTATCCTCCTGTATCTCAGCATTTGACTATATATTAAGCCTTTTTTGAATGTTTCTGGATTGTGTGATGATTGATGTAGGAGTGGCATGCGGTCTGTGGGTTTAATGTAGAGTGTGGTGGCAAGTGTTTTTTGTGGAGTGACATAGACTGTGGTGTCGAGGAAGTTGACCCTCTCGGTGGAGTGTGAGATTTCAAATTTGATGGTGGGGTGTGCTGAGTTGAGATGTGTAATGAATGTTTGGAATGATTCCTCCCCATGTGTCCAGATCAAAAATATATCATCAATGAATCTTTTCCATAGGAGGGGTGAGGTGATCTGGTGCAGATGACAGAAGTGATTTTCTAGTGCACCCATGAAGATGTTTGCAAATGATGGTGCCATTCTGGTGCCCATGGCAGTGCCATGTTTTTGTAAGTAAAGTTGATCATTGAATGTGAAATAGTTTTCTTTTAGGATGTGTATCAGGAATTGATGTATTACTTTGCGGAGTGGCCACATGCGTTCATGTTTGGTGTCTAGTGCTTCAAGTGTCGCACGGATCCCTTCATCATGTGGAATGTTGGTGTAGAGTAACTTGACATCAATTGTGACAAGAATGGTGTTAGGTGGTAGTGGTGTGGTGATGTTGAATATGGTTTGTAGAAAATGATTGGTGTCCTTCATGTAGGAGGGAAGTGAACTGCACAATGGTTTGAGGTGTGTGTCGATGAACGAGGAGAGCCTGTCTGTGGGTGAATCGCATCCTGATATGATTGGTCGCACTGGGTTATTGGGCTTGTGTATTTTTGGTAAGAGATAAAAGATGGGTGTGCGTGGTGGTGAGGGTGGGAATAGGTATTTGAGTGTTTTGTAGTCAATGTCTCCAAATTTGAAGAGATCCTTGACATAATTGGTGATTGTGTTGGTTTGTGCTGTGATGATCATGTCTGGCTGGGCCTCTATTCTTTCATAATATTTGTTGTCATTGAGTTGAGAGAGTGCCTCCTTTTCATAATCAGTCGTTGACCATATGACGATGACACCTCCCTTATCGGCTGGTTTAATGACATATTCTTGATTATGAATGCTGTAGTTTGTAAGGAATGACATTTCGTTTTCATTTAAGTTGGATCTTGGCTGATTATGTGAGTTGTGCTTGAAGACCCGTTGAATGGATTCTGCCACAGAGGCAATGTATGAAAGTAAATTTGGATTGTCTGGAAGGGGTGGTGACCATGTACTTTGGGTTTTGAAAGGGTTGGGATGGTCATTGGAAAAATGTCTGAAGTGGTAGTGTATGTACATGGATCTTCTGAAGCGTTTGAATGAATCGACAATTGTTTGCAGGTGGGTATTGGTTGGTGTTGGAACAAATTTGAGGCCCTTGGAGAGGATGCATTTCAGTGGTGGTGCTGGTTCATGGTTGGTGAGATTTACTATGAGGTTGGTGTGAGTTTGGATTTGTTGACAATAGTGTTTCTTGTCATGGTTTATTCTGTTGGCTCTTCTGTGTAGTTGTTCATGGAGGAAAGATTTTATTGCTTTCCTTTCATGAACATGTTGTAAATTGTGGGGAACTGTGCTTGTTTCCCCTTCAGCTGTTGCTTGATGGATGAGTGCATGATGCTTGCTAGAGGTGAAGTTGTGGTTGTTGGTGGGCGTGGTGGTGTGTGGTTGCTGGGTGGAGGTGGTACCCGTAGTGGTGGTTTGGGTGTGGCAGGTGATGGTCCCCTGTGTTGGTGGTGATGTGGTCTTTTCCGAAAAACCTGCTTTTCAGGTTTCCTGGTAGGTGGTGTGGTGATTGCTGTGGTTTTAGGGCGTTTTGATTGATTTTTTGTGTTTGGTTTGGGTGTTATTTTGCGTTTCGATGGTGGTTTGTGGTTCGATGGTGGTTTGTGGGTGCTTGCGATGTGGATAAGTCGACAGCCTCTGTGGGAGATTGTCGTTTAGGTCTGTGGAGAGTGATGAGATTTGTGCATCAATTTTTGATGATTCCTCCGAGTGGTGTTGATGCAGGATGTTTGTGAGGTGGGACATGCAGTCCCGAATGCCAGTGTCCCATGCTTCCTTGAGCTTTGGTGACAACTGGACCCAGGGTTGTACACTGATGTTAAGACCAGCTGGTGCTGTGTGGTTTGTTATGTGCTTGTTGAGGATGGCCAATTGTCGTTGATGGTAATTTTTGCGGTAGTTGAGTTCAACAAGTTTGTTGAATATGGTGGTTGTGTGGTGTGTGTTGGTGGGAGTGATAAGTGCTTGGGATGTGTTGGTGGTTTGGTGTGTTTGTGGATTTTGTGGTGTGATTGCTTGGGATGTGGTTGGGGATGTTAGGGTGAAGGTGTCTTTGGGTGTGGATGGGATGGCGGTTGGAGACACGATTGGGGTACTGGGTTGGGTCTGGGTGGAGGTTGGGGTTGTGTCCATGGTGGTGGGACTCTGTGGCGTGCTGGTTGGTGGATTAACAGGTGTGATGGATTGTGGGAGAATTGAAATTGGGTTGGTCAATATGGTGGATGGTGAGTTTGATGGTGTTTTGGTGAACAGATTGTTTTCAAAGTCTGGGTCTGATATGACGAGTAAACGTTGTAGCGTCTCTATTTCAAACCCAATCTGGCTGTGTTCCCCGATTCCCCGTTTCCTGTTTTAAAGATAGCCAATTGTAAATTGAATAAAATTTTTATTTAAATTTTTATAAAATTTTTATCGTATTCCCGGATTCCCCGATTCCCGGATTCCCCGATTCCCGGATTCCCCGCCGATTCCCCGATTCCCGGATTCCCCGATTGCCCGTTCCCTATTTTGAAGATAGCCCTAAAACAGTAAACTTGAACCAGCCAAAAACTGCATGTTTTATTTCTGAATTTTAATTGAACTGATTGGAAATTTTGTTTTATTTAATTTATTCATTAAAAATTTATACAAAAACAATTATTTGTCTCAGGTTCAGTAATTAGGTAATATTTAATTGTTAAATAATGCATTCTTTTTTTATTCGTCTCAGCTAAAAGACGTGTCACTGAAGAGAAAAGTAAAAGTATAATTCATAATTAACTTTTGATAAACGGCTTCAATAAATAATAAACGGCTTTATAAAATTATGCATTATTCCCTTTATTGTCTACCCTTTGCATCTTTACGATATTCACGATTATTGTGGTACACGAAAGACTTTGACTAAAGACATTATTGTGGAACTAATGAAAACAGAATTGAGCTAGTACCAACTGCGCCAAAACCAAAGCCCAAATTAGTAACATGAATTTCGTTTGCGTTTAAAATACTTTATGTGCCAAAATCATGCAGTTATCTATTATTAAAATTATGAAATGCTTCAATAAGACATATGAACACTTCCCTTCCTCTGGGTCATATTTTACAACAGTGAACAATTCGTTATAATAATGTTCCAATCGCACTTTAGACAAACCATGTGCCAAAAAGCCTTGCTATAATGGGGCTCAATGTAAAAATGTGAACAAAGATGTTTTCGAATGCACATGTCCAAAAGGATTCAGTGGACCCACTTGCAAAAACGTCGGTAAGTATGCCTTTGTGTCAAATATCATTTCGCAATTACGAGGTGGTACTTTATAACAAACATACTTGCAGGGAGGTGAGTCCGGGTCCGGGATTGGACGCAGCGGCACCGAGGGTGGCTGGAAGTTTCCCGAAGCGAGACCGAGCGAAGCGAGGTGAGTTCGAGAAACTTTCAGCCACCCGAGGTGCGTCCAATCCCGGACTCACCGAACCTTCAAGTATGTTTTGTTTTTATCACATGCCATTTCGGTAAAAAGTACTAACGAATTTACGCATTTTCGTATATAATTATTATTTGGAAAATCACGTTTCACACAATGACCTTTGAAGGAAATTTTGTTTGAAAAAATGAGAAGAATTTATTTACTATGTAAAATTGTGAAATGTAGAGTAAGTTCGCTTTCAATGTTTACTATTTATGATTATAATTTTGTTGCTTTAATAATTTATTGCGTAAAAGTGTAAAACATGCACTGCTGTTTTCCTTGTCAAAGAAGCTGCCCTGTTTAATTTAAGAAGGTAAATGTAAAAGAGAGTAAATTATAATTTGATGACCTAAATGAAATTATGTAACAATTTGAAGTAAAAACAGTTTACCGGCAATAGCAGTTTAGTCGTTAAAATTTTCAAAACATTTTACGAAGCAATTCAGGTTAAATTTTACTGTAAATCAAAGCCCACAAAATCCAGAACAACATACCTAGGCCTACAGTACATATTTTGGAATCCATTGTTATATAGTTAAAAGCAATAATTTTTTGACTATTTTGGACGTCTTGTACAAAAGTACAATAAAAATTAAAATTATCTTATCGTGTTGCCATGGCGACACTGACGTAAACGCGAGTCTGCATCATCAGTAATTAACATTATAGCTTAACGTGACGTGACGCGCAAAGTGACCTCCGTTTTATTTTGTGGTTAAAGTATTCATTTGTCAATCTTTACTAAGGCTACTAACTGTCTACTTATCAAATTAAAGCTAAAGACGTGCTTCGCTTCTTCTACGCGCATTTCGGAATTGGTTTAAATTTATCGAAAGGAATTATTTTGGAATATTTGTTGTTGCCTTGTATCATATTTGTTGTGTCGCTCGCTATAATCTGGGTTTTTGGTTTACGCTAACAATATCTTTGTCTTAGATGGTGCTATTCCTCTGATTTTATACACACACTGTAATCTCTAAAATTAGCAATCTAATGCAAAAGTATGTCACTATTCACAGTAATATTAGAACAACACACAAGTATGGCAATATTATTTACAGATGAATATTGAAAAATATATAACTACTGTATGCACATATATGTAAAAATCTATCCAAAACTAGATACAAACAGGCATCATACTTCAGCAAAAATTTATTAAACAATTTGTTTAACTCAAAACATGTACATAATTATGTATCACAGTGACACAGTACATAGACACACACAATAGGGTCAAACTATAGGCAATAAACACAATTATTATACATTGTAATTGGTAAAAGCAATTTGATTGGCTAAGAGCTTACAGTTAAATCGCGCAATCACGCAACCTACAGAAAATTTAGTTATCTGCTAGCAGATAACTCGGTTATCTGCAAATGAGCCTGCGATGATTAGCAAGCGGTATCTATTTACAGTCAAAATGCAAGAACATTCCAGAACATTCCCACTTCCGCTTCTGTAACTTGTTTTGTATTTCTTTAATTTGTTCTATTTTCTGTAGCGTTTTTTATCGGCAAATATCGCGGTAGAATTCCCCTTTCTTTCCTTTATATACGTCAATTTGTAGCAAAGGATACACCTTTCGTTAGATTCTTTGCATAAAAGTTGTGAAATTTTCATTTTAGTACGTCAAATTATTGTATTCGGTAATTTTAAATTTGTATAGTATGAACACACTATAGGCTGCGGTTTAAAACCGATTTATCAGCAAATATCGCTATAAGATCTAAGTTTCGCAACTTTTATGCAAAGAATCTAACGAAAGGTGTATCCATTGCTACAAATTGACGTATATAAAGGAAGGAAAGCGAAATTCTGCCGGATCCTAACGCTATATGTGCCGATAAAGCGGTAATCGCTACAGAAAATAGAACAAATAAATACAAAACAAGTTACAGAAGCGGGAAGGTTTTTGTATTTTGACTGTAACACAAACAAATGTATAATAAAACAATTATTGAATTCGGTTTTTGTGATATGCAAAATTATCAAGGTCTCGGTAAGCGTTATCAGCCTCGCCTTCGGCTCGGCTGATAACGCTTACCTCGACCTTGATAATTCCGCATATCACAAAAACCTCATCCAATAATTGTTAATTATTACGCTATAATTTTGTACAGTGTATTTATGAAATTACAGTACAGTACAGTGCAAGAATAAAAACAACAAAGCTGAAATTTGACTAAATAACAAGATAACTGTAATGCATTGTAGTATACCAACCTTATTAAATACTGCGCTTGTTTTTACGTTGATGATACACGGAGATTTAATAACGCCATCCAACTTTAATTAGAAAGAAGAGCCTTGCTATAAACACAATTCCTTCGCTCAGACGGATTATTTATAAACTAAACTAAAATGACAACACGTCCCATGCAATTTAAAAAAAAGGTAAACTTGCTATAGTAAAACACAAGTCATAATGAGGATCGCAACAATACAGCAATATGCTGTTTTCACAGAGTATCTGACACTCTTGTCGTTCGAAATTAAAGCTTCCATATTTGTTTAGTCAGAGAGCTGTTCACTCCTCGACAGTCAACAGTCAATGAAGCCACGCGTCGAATTAGGCGCTCAATACCCATGATGCTTTGCGGCCTGTTGTCCAACCTCCTCTGTCTGAGTGCATATCCACACCGGATATGCACTCAGAGTAACATCGCAAACATATTATTCACCTGAGTACACAACACCAACACAGAAAAAAATTCAAGAAAAATCATGTTATCCAAAATTTATTAATTGACTTCGCCGAAGTACTCTACTGATAAGCCATTATTGTGAAGAATCTCTTCAGCACAACTTAACCAATCGCCGTTACAACCTTGTGCACATTCACTCCGTCTTGCCTCCTGTAGCAGTTCCATTCGTGTTTTCTTTGCTCTCTCCAATTTAGCTTTCGCTTCCTCTATCTTCCATGTAGATTGCATCATATCAGCAACTGCTCGAGGATTTCGATTGACTAGGAACTCGGCCAGATCAGTTTTTCCTTCCTCTTTTTGTTCAAACGCAAGGGCTTGAAGCTCAATCAAATTCTTAATGTTCCCCTCTACCATGATCTGCGACACCTCGAATGCTGTTAGTCTTTTTTTGCGTTTCCTGGCGGTTGGCCTCTCTCCTTTTTCGTCTTCATCTTCGAGCAAGGTGTCCTGGGCACTAGAATATCGAGCTGGACGTTTCACTTCCCTCTTGGTGCATCTGGCCCGGCTCGCATTAGTCGTTTTTGGTTTAGGAGCCTCTCGTAGACGGGGGTGGTTTTCACTTTGAGCAAAATCTTTATCCGACTTCGTGACATATCTCCATGCACTGTAATAGTCGTGATGGGCACTCGAGTAGTGGACACTTACGCCGTAATTTTCCATTAGGAACCTCTTAGAGGTAAGCCATCGCTGGTTTTGTGTAAGCTTTACCACTATATGGTAATGTTTTCCTTTATTTCTGTGTTCCTCCTCTGAGCAACACCATTGCACGACCTTAACTTTGCCAGTCGAAAAGGACTTCTCAACTTCTAAAGCAAAGTCTTTCCGTGTTGGAAATACTGCTTTATCGGCTTGACTATACGTAATAAGGTACACTGAGCGACTACCATTTTGCAACTCTTGTGTATTAGCCTCACCAGAGTCACTATCACTGTCATATTCCATCAAAAGCTCCATGTCAATTAAACAAGCACATCCTTACTAGAAATATATCATTCATGTACAGGCTATTTTTAAATATGGCTTAGTTATGGGCTATTATTTACTTAGACACCTTATTTAAATACTTAAAATACTATTAGGAATGTCTTAGATATAACTTAAAATGTATAAATACAAATTAACATGATTTAACCCAGAGTTATTTGCTAGTTTTACACAGCCACTTAAGTGGTGCACTCTCAGACAATCTTGGACAATACACTTAAGACAAATATGAGATCAAATGTCATGTGCATGAGTGTTTAAAATTTCCATGGTTTTGCCCCCCTCTCCCCCCTGATTCAATGTTGCTTGGACGAAAACATGTACCTGGGTTATGTGACTATCAAATACTAGCAACATTGGACTGGGGGAGTGGGGGTTACATCAAAATAAATCCATAATTTAATGGACATAGCTACAGAATATATTTTTATGGCATGAATATTACACTGGGTCTCAACCAGTTTTGTCCAAGATTGTAGCTCATCAAGCACATTTTACTACGACCCACCCCAAAATGTTGTTAAATTTTCAATGACCCACCCCGGCCCTTTCAGATGTTCAAAATTCGATGACCCACCCCTGTTTTTTTTCCAGCCCACCCATCCCCTATACTTTATGACCGGTCCCTTACATTTTTAAACGATTTTGTACTGACCTTTGTGTATCAAACCATGAAGATAAGAATTGATTTATAGGATAATAATTTATTTAAAATAAGTGGTGCCGGTTTGGAAGTATCTGTATTTTTGTCTTGTCAAACAATACTGTATATAGCGGCGCTTTATATCACCTCTCGCTACTGGGCATAGGCGTACTAGAAAAGGGAAACTAGAAACTTTAAAAAACCATGGAAATTCGGGAAAATACTAGGAAAAAAACAAGGCGATTCGAACAGATTTATCAGAAAATATTTTCAATTCTGGTCATTTCATCACAATTCTCCATAAAATTCCATCAAAATTCTCCATAAAACTCCGGACTAACATTAGCAAAGCTTAATTTTTTTTTCTGCACAAACATAACCAAATATTTACTTTTACCAAATTTTAACACCTTTTATCTCAGACATTAACTAAACTTTACCTAGCTTGTAACTAAACATTACCTAGCTTGTACTACATACGTGACGTGCGGTGTGTACGGACGTTCATTTTGAGCTCCTGATGTTATATAAAAAAAATGTCAAAGGATACTATAAAGTCATTAAAGAAACAAAATGAAGAGCTAAAAGCTGAAATTGACTGTATAAGAAAAGATTTTAAGAAGCTCGAACAAGACGCTAAAATATCTGAAGCCAGATCTACCCAAAATGACGACAGTGGCTCGTCGCCAGATAAAGAAACGCTAAAGAGTCTGGAGTATTTGAGCAACGAATACGGCGATGTACGCCGCTCTCAGAGTTCTGCCAAACAAAGATTCTCCAAATTCGAGTCTCGGCTGAACGACTTGGAAGAGAAGGTCGAGGGCTTATCAAAATCTATTGTCGAAGTGGAAGAATATCGTTATGCATACAACGTTAAACTGGTGGGAATACCCGATCTTAACCCGAAGGAAACTGCAATCGAAACAAGCACGTTGTGTGTCAAAATATTCAACGCTATGGGAGCTGAAGTATCGATATCGGACATAGATATTGCCCATCGTGTTAAACCGAGAAGAAATAATGGCGGTCAAGCAAGACCGATTGTTTGTAAATTTGTTCGACGGTTGGCACGTGAAAACGTTATGGCAGTGAGACGAAACATGCGAAGTGTTGACCCAAGACAGGTCAATCTACCTCCAGAAACTTCTTTAAATCAAGCAGGAGTTTATGATCATTTAACCCCTAGACGCCAGAAGCTTTTCGCGGATGCCAAAAGTTTTAAAGTGAACAATAACTTGTTGGACAAAGAACGCTATGATTTACTTACGAAAGTCTGAGGATTCACCCCCCAATCAAAGTTAATGACCAACGTGATTTGGAGTTGCTAACTAATAGCAGGACTGAGTCAATCCTAACTGCGATGTTTATATCTGCGGGAGGAAAGAGGTAACCAATGAAGGGTAGCGAGGGCTTTCGTCGCTGAAGAGAGCAGTGCATTTTTTAAGGATTCTTCAGTGGTGCAAAACTGCCAAAGGGCCCATTTTTCTTGCCCTCCCCCCAGGATAGTATGCGATCGCCGAAGGTGTGAGCCGAGTATCGCAGGCACAAGTTTGCTAGGGGGTCTGAGGGCGTGCCCCCCCAGGAAATTTTTAAAATTTGGGTCTCTGAAATAGCATTTCCTGCATTCTGAGAACACGTTTTAAAAAATCTCAGCTTCTCAAAACAAAGTTTTAATGGTGAAATTTGTAATAAATTGCATGCCAAACATTCAAACACAACATATTTAAAATTGTGGCAATTGATACACCAAGCGGAAATCTTAGTTTAAAGATAAAGAGCAGAGCCCAGCAAATAACTTTAAAGCCAAACATAATAAAAGTAAAACATTTATTAGCTAAAAATTACGGGAACCACTGAGTATTTTGATAAAATACAAAACAATAGATACTTCGAAAATTGAAAGAATTTTGAAAAATTTATTTCGACGTTTCGACTAAACTATAGTCATCATCAGGAAATGAATGATGATGATATTACATATGTACAAGTAAATATAGTGAAGTAACAAGATACGATTAGTTAAATATTAATAGATCTTTAGAGGCTTTAGTTCCATGGTTTAGGGACGGTTTCATTCTATTAATGGCAATAGATTTTTGATAAAGTATCAACGACCAGTGATTGAATTTATCTATTATCTTAGTGTTAGTAAATATTAAATCTGTCACTGAACATTTAATGTTATTAACTTCGTCATTAGGTGTTAGTTCGAGAAGGTTTTTTACAAAATTGAATTCATTACAGTTAGTAATATGGTTATATATTTCAGAAGAGTCAAGAGAAGAATGCTCTTTAATACGGGTATATAGGCAGCGATCAGTTTTTCCTACGTAGTTAGCATTATATCCAGGGCATTTGAATTCATACAAAACGGAGCTTTGATACGATTTTGGTGTTGGGTCTTTACGTGAGATCACAGTTAATAAAATAAGATGGTTTGGCTAGCTGGACACCCCCCCAAAATATGTTATTGTTCTCGACTATTGAGGTCACGTGACGCTTTTAGTGCATCAGCGATAAACAGTGAATGCTTTACAATATGAGCGGCGACGCACTTCTACGCCGAAAACCTTCGAATTAACTGCTTTTTCTAGCGAATTTTGTTAAAATCTCAGTAGCTACGCTACGCTGGGTGCCAATTGTGCAAAGTATGGCTGTTCGACAAGTCGAAAGAGTAGTCTTTCGTTATTTAAGTTACCTTGACCTAGAGTGGATAATTGACAAGAGACGAAAGCTTCGAAGGAGATTGCGCGTAAAGAATGGCTACATGGATACTAAGAACAAGGGAAATGACTCCCGAATTGAAGCAGAAAATCGAGGAAAATAAGATTTTCCTATGTGAGCGTCATTTCAAAGAAGAAATGACATCTGATTGTAAGTACGGACTTTTTATCTTTGCGCGAAATATTGTAATTGCTCGGCCTTTGTCTTATTGTGTATAATCAATATGGTTGAAATATTTGCGGTTTATATATTGAATGTATCTTCAATAACTGTGAATACTAGTCTAGTAATTGAATTTTTGCCCTTTTGAAAGAGCTGTTCCAACTGAAAATCTGCCGTTAAAAAGCTATGAAACCAAGCCAAGCATACGTTGGGTCCTTGAAAGACAACAAGAAGCTAGCACCCGTGGAGAAAAAAGAAACGTTTGAAGAGTTTTGTTAAAATGTTAAGGGAGTTTCACTTGATCCTTGGAGTATCACAGCATGTACCGATGATGAAATGGGAATTGAACTTCGGGACAGCGATATTCAATTCACAAATTTGTGCATATTATAGATTCATGTTTACATTTTTGTTACATGTTTACAATTGGCTTCTCCCTTGATGATCACAAAATTTATTCAAGCCATAGATGACGGATGAACCCTGCTGAAATTGCTGAACTTTTGCTGTCTCTTCAAAGGGGGGAATTCAAGATATGCAAAGGTTTACGACAGAAAGAATACCTAAACTCCATTGCAAAGGATGCTATATTGCTATATATAACATATTGCTATGTTAAATTTGTATCTTGTACACAAAACAGTCAAATAGCTTCTTATTGAACTAAAAATAAATTGATGAGCCCTATTTAAATTATCTGACTTCTACTAAAATGTGTATAGGTATCCCCTTTGTTGGCTCTTTCCAACATGGTGATATGGCGAGCACCCAGCACTATGCCCTAAGCCGTGTTTACACTACTAGCCTAAACCTGGCCTAGGCCTAGCTTTGGACCAGATTTTTGTAGTGTAAACGCACTTCAACCTGGCCTAGGCCAGGCCGAAGTGCATTTACACTAAAAAATCTGGTCCAAAGGTAGGCCCAGGCCAGGCTTAGGCTCACAGTGTAAACAAGGCTCTAGTATATTTAGGCCCAGGGGTATGGAGTGTAGGGTGTTAATTATTGGCTATGTTAAAAGTATTTTTGGAATGGTGGACAATCACATAAATTATATCAATTGCTATGCACTTTGTTAAGGCACTGAAATTATCATTATAAATATTTTTAAATTTATTTAATTGTATGTACAAAAAGTATGTTTATCTAAGGATCATAAAGCCAAATTAACTTTTTTTCCCTATATATAAACTGTCTGAATAGAATCCCTACAACCTCTAGTAGTTTGACCAAATCATTACATGGTGTAGCCAGACCTACTTGACTGTGTGCCTTAAAGTATTCATTTTCCAAACCAGAACTGATCATATGTTCTAAAATTATTTGAAGCCGTCGTCATTTGCTTTGTTTTTGGACTTTTTCTTCAGATTTGACAACACATACCATGCTATGTAGGACAGGGGACCGTGTTCATTCTCATTAAGTTTTGAAGAAATTCCAGCATGTCCACTGCATGTAGTAAGACCTTTTGACAATGTCACTAAATGGTCTGGTATTGAAATCATTATTAGGTGCTGTTTATATGATCTCGGGTACTAGGGTCACCTTACCCCCGAGCTACCCAAGGAGAGGCAAAATTATATTCATTATATAACATTTAATTTAAATGCAAGTGTTTACATGGAAAGTTTTCAACTCGTCTCGGCTGGTAGGGTCACCCTGGCGGTAGGGACACCCTGTTTACAAAACAGGGTTACCCTTGGTCGTAGAGACAACTTTCGTCCATGTAAACAATTTGTCTCAGCCTCCACAGATAACTTTTCATTACCCGATTCCCAGGCCATCAAACAAATAACTGCATGTTTCCGGAGTCACAATCTCGCACTTAGAGCCATTCTTGTAGAAGGGGATACAGTGCCAGGGCTAGTGTTTCTCATATAGCCGTGCGGTGAAGTTGTCTCGGGGGTACCCTGTCCCTAGTATCTGAGATCATATCAATAGCGTCTACGACTGCATAATTGTTGGTTTTTAGACTGCAATAGGCAAGACGAAAGTCTGCTAAGAATGAATATTGATTTAGCTTTCGACAAAATCGTTCATAAATTGGCAATATATTATCGTATATAGTGAATCGTTCAATGTTATGCTTGCCATATATTCCAAGTCATTTCGCTGTCCCAGAAAGCATCCTCCTTTATTTTTGTCTTAACTTTATCAACAATGGATTTTAACTACTCAGGTGTTAGCGATATCTTCGATGCAGAAACGTTCTCTTTCCCCGCTGTAATTTTGTTCCCATGTTTTGCATTTTTATGTCTCGTCAAGCCACCTTTCGACTTGCAAATCCTGACACAATTTTTGCAAGGAAAGTTATTTTCGCCTGATATTTCGCTCACAGTGTCTGCGACCTCCTCTTCCATAGTTGCTTCGACTTCTTCAATAAAAGACAACGCAATTTCAAAATTATAATGGAAAATATCCTCGCAGGTTTCTTCATGTTCAAATAACGCCAACTCCTCAACAATGTTGCTCGAACAACTTTCGCCTTCCAATTCCCTCGGAATCGATACAATCGCCTCTAAATCGTCGTCCATAACTCTTTGTATGATAACTTTAGTTTAGCACAAAAATAAATGTTATTAGCGCCGTTATTTCGCGATGAAACATGAAAACATTGGAAATTATAATATAATCTTATAGTAATTGGTCTCAAGCCATGCATTAAAACCGTCACGTGACATCTTTTTCCTTTGATCCTCAACATATTTTGCCGCCGTCGCCTAATCCCTTTGAAGTTTGCCGGCTAGCCAAACCATCTTATTTTATTAACTGTGGTGAGATGAAGCAATTAGTATCAGTAGTTTTCCAGTTGACGATAAATTTGCAAAGGGATTTCAGTAGAGGACTTATTTTTCGAATGAAGTTATTAGTGAGTTTAGTTCCATATTTACCGAAGAAAGGTAAATGAATCCAGATCTTGGTTCTAGTGGGGTCAATGACAGCATTATTAGAGTTACTTGGGTTAGGAGAAGAGGGTTTGAACAATGTTAAAAGTTTTCTAGAAAGTTTTCGAGGGAATCCATTCCATGACATGAAAGAGGCAATATTATTTAGTTCAAGATTAAGGAGTTTATCATTGCTACAAATTTTGTGGGCACGATGAATGAGGGCACGTATCCAGGAAATCTTTCTTGACCATGGAGTGTAGCTTGAGTAATGTTGGTATTGACCAGTATTGGTTTGCTTGCAGTAGACAGTAGTAAACCCATACTGGTCAATACCAACATTACTCAAGCTACACTCCATGGTCAAGAAAGATTATCTATTGCTTTGTATTTTATTAGCTAATGTTTCTTTGTTTACAATACAACATCTTCAGAGCAATCTAAATGAATTTGCCGGGTATGGTATATATATTTACAAAATGATGGTTTATTAGTACAAAAACGGTTACATAGTTTGAAAGAAAAAATGAATAGAAAGAAAGGAAAACAACTTATCAGTAACTAGTTAATAAGTAAAGATTAATGCTAAGTACATGGTTAGT